TTTTTTTTTTTATGAACGAACCCCATGGTACGCGTTATTTATTGAAATTATTATTTGTATAACGTAACTTGATGTTATCTTCTGATATTTGATTTACCCGTAACAGTTGAAATGAAATACACGCACATTGATTTTTGATCTGCTATGTCAATGTATTATTGTATATCATATCATTTGTATTTGCTTGTATATTTTTTCAAAATTACTGTTGCATTTTGTATCTTTTTCATGGCAAGTATTATAATTCTTATTTCCGTATGATTCCTAGGAAATTTTTTTGAAATTATGAATTAGCATGGTGGATATATAATAAATTAATAAACTTACTGTCCAAATTCACCGAGAATTATGGCCCCGACACCTAGTAAAGCTACGGCGATCAGAATGTAAGTAGAGATGCGTGTCTGCAGCCAGGAGGCTCCTACTACCTTCAGCATGGCTCATCGGTAAGCTATACACCTTGGTTACGAAAAAAAAGCTGAAAAGCACGAATTTCACGTTCTCAACCCATCGATTACAAAAGCCTGGCTTTCGGCTTTTCCAGGCGTTTCAATAGCTGCCAATTCGGCGCGCTTGTCCCGTAGTTACTGAAACAAATCAATAATTTCCAATGCAATTAAAATTATCGTTAAGAAAGAGACACTTGAATTCGACAATTTAATTATTAATTGTTATAAAAGTGGAAAATTATTACATCATTAAAAAATATACTAGACATTGTCGTTGTTCTGAGCAATGTTAATCTATCAATTTAAATCTATATTTCTAATTTAAAATTTCTAATTTAAATATTTAGAATTAGAAGAAGATTCACTTGCGTTGTAACATCAAAAAAGCAGTCTACAATCTTACTGAACTATTGTTTGAAGCTTGCAGTTCAGTTACTATATGATCTTCTTTATCTGAATATTGCAGAAAGGTGGAAAATTCTCATAGGCTAATTTATGACTATTGGCCATTTGAGATACAATGGTCTGCAGAACAATATTGTCTTGTCTTGGGAATAAATAATTTATATATATACACCGTCAGAACAAAAAAGAACAAATAATCTTAGAAAATTGCAAAATGTAGATGAAGGTTGAAGCCTAAGTTTGTGTGCGGCTTTTACGTCAATATTTACAATTAGACACATTTAGTTTCTTTAATTATCGTTCATGTAATACTTATCGATTCGTTACGCAACTGTAAAATACTTATCTGTAAATGTTAACGGGTGAATTTTGTTGCTAAGTATGACGTTAGATTTTTAAAAGTTACATCACGTTACGTTATAAATGTTCATAAATATGCATCAAGCATTGTGTATAGCTATATGATATAGGTACACATCTATGTGAAAATGTTAATATCTATGACATAGCATTAAATTTTATTTTAAATTCCTTTTTATAATTAAATTGGAAAAGAAGCAAATCTACTGAATTTACTATTTGCATGTAAGTTGAAAAGTTTATTCTCTTTTCTCTGAATATAAATTATATTTTATTATTCTAACAGGAGGCACAATTGTTTTCTAATAGAAAAATTCTTTTTTTACAATTCATTTATGTCTCATTTGTATATTCGTTTTAACAACTGCTGTTAATAATACTTTAGAAACACAGCGATTGCAAACTCATCTTTTATTTAAAAAATTATTTTCTCATGTGTCTCATTTTTTTATATTCTCAGACATATTTCAAAACATATAATGATATTTATGTACATATGATATAACATCATGTATAAATTGCAAAGAATTGTTTAAATAGTTCTTCTAGAAATAAAAAAAGTGATAAAAATTGATAAAGATCACACTTTGTTTCACAATTACTAAAATATTAATTTGTGACGATAAAAGAACTAAAATATGTCAATCTGTTTGAAGATAAAAAACATTTTACATTACATGTGTACATTATAATATTTAATATTATACTTCTTATCTATCTTCCTCGCTTTTAAATCAATCATAAATCTTATATCTATCGTCCTCGTTTTTAAATCAATCATAAATCTTATATCAAATTATAAACATATATATAATCAAATTGTAAACAAAGATTTTCCATAGAAATGGGTGTGTCGAATTTTATGCAACTACTTAATCTATAATCTATAATAATCTACGATTTTTTTTTTCTGACGATTGAAAGTATAAATTTCAAGATAAATATCAAGCTCAACGATTGAAATTAGCAATTATAAATATACTTGCTCTATAAATCACTGTAATTTGTATATGAAAACGTATGAATCATTTTACGTAATTATGTAAAGTTATGACGTATATTTTCAACGCAGAAAAATTTTGACGTATTTAATCATTGTGAGAAAATTAGATTGATATTAGAGAAATAAAGGAATAACTATTTTAAGTACTTATCGGATTTTCTGGTTAATTATAAAGGATAATAATTAAATGTAAAGAATAAATTACAAGAACTAAATTAAGAAATACAATATATGAATACTATCAATTCGAACCAAATCATTGTACAGAGTCATAATTTCTTCGACCTCCTTATCATTTATCAATTATCAATCTGAGTCATCGGTGCATATTTCCATGAGAGATACTAACTTGCAATTATTGATCGACCTGAATAAACATATATTACATCAAAAATATTAATTTTTATAATTAATTTAAAATCACTGTACAGTCAATAAAATTTATATCTTTAAGTTATTATTACATTTCACACGGATGCACTAATCTATTTTTATTTAAAGAATTTTACAATAAACTCAGAAATATAAATTATAACAGCACGAACAAATTTTTTGATAACAGTCGTGCATTTTTTAACATCAAACAGGAAGCAGTATATACAGTATACAAAGTAATAAAAAAAAAAATATATCACTAAAATACGTTATCAAATAATTCTAAAAAATATAAATTATAATTCTAAAAAATATAAATTTATTTGAATATAAATTAGTAAATTTTTATATTTAAACTCATTTGCAATTTTTAAAAAGTATCTTATATCATAATAATAAATAATTCACATTTTCACTAAAAAAAAAAAAGAAAAAAATAATAAATTTATCTCCAGTGATAAAGAAGGTGAAATTTACAAAAAAAAAATGAATTAGGTTTTTAGCAAAACGAAGTAAAATTCATAGTGCCGCACGACACGCAAACGCAAGCGCGGCAAACGAGTCGTAACCACGTGAACAGACTCACGGCAACGCGCTCCAAAAAATTAAGTTAAAGATTCCGGAAATGAATAAATATAAAAATCGTTCTATTCTTTGTAGAAAGATTTTACATAATAAAATATAATAATTGAAAAACCACGAACACTTCTATGAATTGCAAACAATCTATCGATCGGCCGTCTTGGAATATTTGTATCCGGTGTGCGCGCGTGAGTTACACACGCTTCTATGCATGCCTCTTTTTTCTCCTCTGATGAATTCTTCGTTGGATTACTCACCGAGAATAATGGAGTAGAATCTGAATTGAAGCGCGTCGAACACGGGTAAAAAATCGGTCATTCGTACGGAGATTACATTCCTTTGGCGTACTTTTGTTGCCACGGCTGTGTGACGTGGACTAGTTGTTCCAACACCAAAGTTCAAGCGCGAACACTCGCTGCTTCTCGACTGTCACGGCAACCCGTCAACCAGAATGTCGAGTAGTTGCATGTTCCCTTTCCACCTTTCACAAGCCAACCGACGCGACGCGACGCGACGCAGTGTTGAGCGTCGACGGCCTTTCTATATTGTTGCCACTGCTGGGTCACGTTCTCGTGGCACCCTGCATACGCGTTGATACACTCCGTTATGAGCTCTTTTTATCATTAAGCCTCTGTATCTTGGCGCCATTCCTAAACAAAATGATTGATATAAAATTTGTTGAATATGTAAGATAAGTTGATTCTAGATGTTTGTATTAAATACAAATTATTGTATTTATATTTTTCATTTAATCCTCCTAATCTAAAATCCTATCTGGATGTCAAAACAAAGTATTACATGATCAATTGTATTACATTTTAAATATATGCTTACTGTAATTACTGTGAATAATCGACTTTATCAAATTATTCGATTTTATCAGCGTTTTGTAAGATAAGATGATAATATAGGTATGATAATGCTAATGTATGTATCTAATAAAGATTTTTGAGAATGTATTACATATCAATGATAAAAGTTAATATAAAGTAATGTAATTAAAATATATATGCAAACTGTTTATTTATGCACCTTGGAAATTTACCAACATTTCTCAAAACTTCAGTCATTTACACACTGTGTTTGTAAAACGTGTCTTTGGTCTCTTAAATATTCTTGAAATATAATTGAAGTCTCTGCAAAGTAAATAAAATTATTTTTTTATTTAAAAATAGCTAAAAAAGCTTCAAAAAAGCTAATATAATCATAGATACATATGAAATAAATTTTTTATTGCAAAAATTTCTTTACTGTACTATGAACATAGCAGTTGACTAATACATAGCTTTTTAGTAAGACAGTCATAGCTGTTGAAACTTAATGAGTTTTAATTGGAGGTAATTGAAAATTTTAGTCATCCCGCAACTGTGACTGACCGAATAAAGGCATAGATATACTCTCTTTAATCGGATTACGTAAGAAATAATGCTAATCCTTTGCAATTTATTTGTTATTGCAAAGATAGAATCTAAAACAGACTATTCCATTATTAAATCATATTGTTATAATGATTAACAGTAATAATAATGATTAATAGTCATGTGTATGAAACATCTGTGAACTCTTACGTGTAATGAATTCTATGACTATTGACGTGTATTAAGTTCGACTTATTCCAATGACATAAGAATTTTATATATCAACTGTTATACATTTATTATTTTCAAAATGTAAATTGTCATTTTTCTCTTTTTTTTTTTTGATGTAAATTATTTTATGTTTGTAATTTTTAACAAGAAATCTAATAAATTACCTTAACAAATTACTATCATGTGACAGAGATTACATACGTCACGTTACATGACTCATGTAAGTAGATATGTAAGTATTCAATAATGTTTTATACATACTGAAAAATACTCTAGATGTTTGATCTGTTCATCATCACATGCGCGAGTAGTCATTAACCTTTCAACATTCAGTGATCATGTTCGACCTTCCACTTGAGAAACTGCATTCTTGTTCGAATTTTTATTCTTATTGTACATTTACTTACAACTGTCGCTTTATCTGTTATTATATAATTGAACAAATTTTACCAGGGTTTTTATTTTTCAGTATCAGCTAATTAAATAATTTCTTTTCTTCTTTCTAATTAACATGCCTGTGTTCAAAAGTTCCATTACTAACTTCTAGAAAATACGGCATTTCGTGAGATATGATAATAAGATAAGACATGTGATTTTCAATGAATCAGAGATCGTTCTAGGTGGTGTAGTGCTTGTGAAAACTATTACTATTAGTTCAGTAAAGTAATTACGTAAGATGAGACGCCTTTAACTAGACGCCGCTGAAGCGATTAAAATTTCCAATTACATTCAATCCAATCTCATCGACTTGTAGAAGTTACTCGCACCTTCTCGGTCGCCATTTCTTCGAAAAATCTGAATATTCTTATTAATTGTTAATTGTCATTGATTCTAAATTGATTCTTATTATAAGAATACTAGTATTTTAGTTGTACTTAGTAGAAATGTTAGATGAATTATCTACGACAAACCAATATTTCACAATTCAGTCTATTCTTTCACAAAGTTGCATCATCGATAGTTGACAGAAACTGAGGTAGCCCTGAATATATATGCTGCATTTCTGAAAATAGATTGCGTAAATAATAGTGTTTCTCAATAAGAATTATTTCCTAATTTTGTATAAATAATATTAAATAATATTAAATAAACTAATAATAAATAATATTAAATAAACTGTGTAATTTCTTCTCTACTAATTCTTTTATTTGCTTTTCATTTCAAGAATTTATTACATATTCTTCAATTAAGTTTTCCACTACATAAATGTTCTAATATAAATGTTCTAATATAACAAGTGCATTACCTTTTTTTTTTTAATGAATTAGAAACATACTCACATTTACATGAACCAAAATTCAATATAAATAAGACTAATTCATTTTTACTATATATTAGTGGTAACGCGATCTCGTTTAAAAGCAGATAACTCATTGTTCAACTTCTATAAATTACAACGTTATTCAGTTTTTTATAAATTTAGGGAAATAGTTACAAGCATTTACTACAGTTTGTAGTAAAAATAGTATCACAGATGGAGAAGATAACAAACATTCTGGTTTCCATTAAAAACAATCTACTTAACAGATAAAAAAAAATTAATATGCGTATAAATTGAAATAGGAAACGATAAATTTATTAAATATAAAAAAAAAGATTTTATTATAACTCGCTATTATAATGTCTACGTAGACAATTCGGAAGTCAAAGTTTTAAGCGAGATTATTTACTGATTGTCAGTATATATGTGAATTTTATGAAAGCAACCGAATCATTAGTTAAGAAAAAGTTGCATTTATTGATTTAAATAAATAATCTGATAGTCATACAACTTTCTCCCTTCAGACAAGATCTTTTAGAAAAAAAAGGAAGTTAAACGCAAGAATGTCTTAAAAAAAAGAAGACATATTGAATATCGAGTTCGAATATTAGTATCGTGTTTTAAGCAATTTTATTCGCGTCGAATAAAGCCTTCCGTGAAAATTATTCTCGCAATAAGATCTACGGAATTTCTTGATTACGGCCGGTAGCAGAAGCACGCGCCATAAATGGAATGCAATATACGCCCTCTGGTATTCGATTGTCAAGATATTTTCTCGTCCTTTATTCGTCTACGAAATTTATTTGACAATATAAATATTTTAACTCATTAAGAGGCAATGTTGTATTATTAACACAACGTTCCAATTGTAATTTGTTCTTAGTCATCTTAGTTATCGAATCCTCTTTTTTAATATTTGTGAATATGAAAGGAAATTCCAATGATTCGTTCAACACTTTTACTTCTTCTGTCTTAATTCTGCAGCTTTTGTAGATTCAAAGAAATTGAAGTATCACATTATGATACTCTGTTTAAATGGTTTAATCTAGTTTTTTGTTTAGTTGCAACCTTTTTATTAAGAAAAATTGTAATCAACAGTACTTACGTTCTAATTAAACTTCATATCCATTTTAATACATCATGAGTTTTGTTTAAAAAAATCAGAATTACTCGAACTTGATCGCAATTAGTGTGATTTTCTGTTTATTGGAAATTGATGACCTCGATAATCTACTTTCGAGTAAATAACGACAATGAAGCCAGGAGAAGATGAATGCAGATAGTAAGGTTTAGATTACTAAAATAAAAAAAAATATGCAATTAAAAATATTAAAAATTATTCAAGGTTAGAAATTAATATAATGTTATCGTTTAAGATTAGACAGGTATTTATATTTTAGATCTTAGTAATGTATACGAGTGTAAATTAAATTATTAATTCTACATACTTCTGTTTGTATAATTATTTTAAAGAAGTAAATATCACAGACATTTCCGTCGCAGTTATTCTAACGATTACACTTTCAAAAAATATAATGAGAGAGAGCAGTTCTGCGCATGCGCGTCTATTATATATAAACTGTATGATATTAAGAGAATTAAATAATTTACATACGTATTTTCTCCTTTTTTTTTATATTTTAATGAGTTAAAAATTTTTTTTTTTTTGCATTTGCATGTTTTTAACAAAAGAAATTTGTATTGTTTTGTGATGTAATACCTGTCACTGCGCATGAGCACCGCAACGAATCGGCGGCAAAGCAGTATTATACGAAGTCTTCGTCCTTTCAGACCATTTGGGATCTTTTAGTAGAAATTGACGATAAGAAAGTAGAGGATCAAGAAAATGTCTTTGAAACTAATTTAAAATTAACCGAAAATCGTATAATCGTACAATTGCTCAATAAGTTATAAACAAGAAACGAGTAATATTTCAACTAACAAAGCATTGACTTAAAGATTCAAAATGTTCTCGAAGATTTATTTATTAGTTTTATTTCTTACTTTAAAAGATGTATCGTGTTTATCCTGGCATAATCATTATCAGAATAGAGAAAATAATTCAGACAGAAGAGATGTTCATAAAGTTCCACTTGGTTCAGAAGCCACTTTCCATTGGAGGTATATTATGTTGCAATGTTAATTAAATCTGATAAGGTTAAAAATAACTTGAAAATTAAAAAATAATTTTTAGAGTCGATTTCATGAACGAAATGATAATCGCAGAGGTTCATTATATAGGCATCGATAACACTTGGTTTGCCATCGGTTTCTCAGATTATGGTGAACTAAAACCTGCTGATTATTGTGTTCTATGGATTGATTGGCACCGTCAAATACAATTACAGGTAATCATGACAAATTCACTTTTTTTTCAATTTTCTAATATTCAAGATAATATTCAACCAGTGGTTAAAGAAAAATAATTTCGTGGCGAGAAATTGTAAAAATATAAGCCTCATAAAAATAAGGAATGCACGAACTATAAAAAAAAAAGAACTTATTATGTTTCCTCTCATCTTCATTTATAATATACAATTAAATACATTTTGTATCAATTATTATATATATATATAATTTATTTATATATATTAATATAATAATTTATATATATATTAATATAATTTATTTATATATATATTAATATATATAATTTATATATATATATATTTCAGGATGCATGGGCAGATGAAGAAGGAAAATTAAATCTCGATTTCCAGCAGAATTGTGAGAATTTCGCGTGGAGAAGGAGAGGAAACATAACGAAGTTCACGTTTTCTAAGAAGTTTGATACTTGCGACGAAAATGACTACATCATGGAGGTAAATTAATTGTAAAGTTGAGATAACAACACTAGTTTATTATCATTCTTTAACAGAAAAAATATTTAAAAATTCTTAGAGAGGTACTACACATTTAGTATGGTTGAAAGGTTTAGGACCACTGTCGTCTTTAGCTGGTTTGCAAGTATCAGACGCGAAAGCTTCTGGTATGTCTAGAACAGAGTTAATCAGAATACTCCACAAGAAGCCGACATTTCCATCAAACGCCTGGCAATTGGAAATGTTAGCTGATCATGTGAAAGTGCCAAATAAGGAAACGACTTACTGGTGCCGAGTACAAAAATTACCACCTGTTTTATCTCAAAAGTGAGTTTGTCCATTAGATTTCAATAAAATTTATCATAATGAACAATTTCTTATCGAGCTATTATTTGTAGACATCACATTCTACAGTTTGGCCCAGTCATACAAACAGGCAACGAACACTTGGTTCATCATATGGAAGTTTTCCATTGTGCTGGTCCGGTAGATCTGGAAATTCCTATGTACGATGGTCCTTGCGATGGAACTAATCGACCGGAGAAAACTCAGGTGCACTTAGTTTCTTAAACAGCAGAATAATATTGATTACATTATTGATTACATTGTTAATTGTTAATGGACTTAAACAAATTTAGCGTCACAATTATTCTTCGGCTATTCATCAAAGTCTGTTCTTTCAAAAACAATTAAATATGTTTTTATCTCGTTCTCTTAGATATGTAAAAAGGTTTTAGCAGCTTGGGCAATGGGAGCAGATGCTTTTATTTATCCAGAGGAAGCTGGTCTTTCAATTGGTGGCCAAAATTTTAATCCTTATGTCATGTTGGAAGTTCACTACAATAATCCCGAGCTTCAGGATGGGAATGTCGACTCTTCAGGAATTCGTTTTATCGTTACTAAGAGTCTTCGAAAGTATGATGCAGGTGTAATTGAATTAGGTTTAGAGTACACTGATAAAATGGCAATTCCACCACAACAAGTAACGGATCATGGCATATGTAACTAAAAAAAAAAATAAATATAATTAAAATCGAAATTAATAACAAAACCGTTGTAGGAAGCCTTTATTTTATCGGGACATTGTATACAAGAATGTACAGGTGTTGGTCTTCCACAACAAGGAATACATGTTTTCGCATCCCAACTTCATACACATTTAACTGGCATAAAAGTTATTACTCGTCATATTAGAGATGGAGAGGAATTGCCTCTATTAAATTATGATAATCATTATTCCACTCATTTTCAAGAAATTCGTCTTCTGCCAAAACCTATTATCATTTTGCCTGTAAGAATTAAAATCTAATATTTTGTACAGTTCATGTGATGAACTCCATCATATTATAGATTACGCATATAATAGATTTTAATGAACAAATAGAAAAATGATAATAAAAGAAATTAATTACAGGGAGATTCGTTAATAACAAGTTGCACGTATAAAACGATGGATAGGAAGAATGTTACTCTTGGTGGGTTCGCCATTTCTGACGAGATGTGTGTAAATTACATTCACTATTATCCTAATGCTCGATTAGAGGTATGAAAAATTAATATTTTTTTTATTAATTAAAATTTAATAAGGAAGCGGTTAATGTTTCTTAGGTTTGCAAAAGTGCTATTAGCGACGATGCTTTGAGGACTTATTTCCGCTATATGAGAGAATGGGAAAATCAACTAACTATTGCTGATAATGGAATTTCTGCGAATTACAAAAATATCGAGTGGACTAAAGTTCGCGTACAAGCTTTATATGATTTATATCAAGCTGCACCATTAGGTCTATAATTTATTAACATATTAAACATCCGAAGTTTTAATCTTGATAATTTAATTGGCAATTATAATCCGTGATATATAATATTCGATATGTTTGATCAGGAATGCAATGCAATGGTTCTGATGGATCTCGACTTCCTGGACTATGGGACAACATAGCTGCCACACCAGTCAAACTACCTTTACCTCCACCAGCTCGAAATTGCCCGGATTCGTTATTGAAACAAGAAATAATAAATTCTATGTAAAATTCTTTTCTTGTTTATAGTACTATCTATTTTCGAAAACATTAACGAAATCAAAATTTACGTCTATGGATAATACACAAATCTGAAAATTAGTGGAACATAAACAAAATATACTACATTTATCATATTCATATAGATTTACAATAGTTTCCATAAATGTTTAAAATTATCCGCTTATGAATAAAATACTTTACAAATAATATACTTCGTTACATACATTCAATTAATCTATATTCTTTTAAGATCGTTTCATTTAATTATATCATCTTGAAAGAATATAGCTTTTTTAAAAGGGAGAAAAAAAAATAGCTTAGATTACAATACAAAGTGCTCAAAATTAATGTACTTCATGTAACGTGAAAACAAAAGAAACTGAAAGACTATCAAAAAGAATAGCTTAGGATAATGATGAACATTATTAATATAAAAGTTTATAAACCTCCAGTATATTTCTGCATTTTAAGGATTTCTTTTTGGCAGTACATTGTCTTGCTGCGAGTAAGCTTGCTTAATCGAATGTCTGTTAACAAATACTTGTTCTATGAGAAATTGGTACTTGTAAAATGTGGAATAATAAAAATAATCATAGTTATAATAATAACTTC